AATTGGTGTGGTGATGGGATGTCCCAGTTCACCCGAGACCTGTTTGGTGTACAGGCACCCTTGTGCAACAGTGCACAGTATCATGAGTTCGATCTCGGCAGTCGAGAGAACGACACTACGTAAGCGCTTTACAACCCATGATTTTGCGGATGCATAATCAGGTGCAATAGTACGTGACGTAGCCGCAGGCGCAATGGCGCATGCTAACGCAGTTCGCGTAGTCACTGTCCGCGTATGCGCGTAGCGTGTTTGAGGCATCGTAGGTGCCACCATGGACGAGACTGTAGTCGATCATACCTCGGACGTAGCTGAGTGTTCGCTTGATTACCAGCTAGTGTTCTGGTCCAGGGTTGGAGAGGTACTAAGTTGTTGAACTGCATGTGCAAGGTCGGATCTGGTGCTAATCATGAGGCACATGATGCTGCCGGCGACCGAACGATACGGTTTGTCCATCATTTACTTCCGTTCGTCGTGATTCTGAGGACACATCGACTCAGAGAGATTGGTGTTGAATGGGAGTAAGTGCAGGCTTCGATTGCTTCATGCTAAAACTCTTGAGGATCGAGGTTGCATACTGCGACTGATGCATCGTGAGAGTTCTCGACGAACGATCTCGAACGATGTGGAACCCAATAATGAAATTGAGGGGACCAAGATCGTGCATCTTGAAGCGACACGACAGACTGTGCTTAATTGTAGACATCATGTCCTTTGAGGGAGCTATGACAACGATTCATCGACATAAACGCCGATGTACACGGACTGGCCGTGCATGTCTTTTGTGAAGACACATCGATTCTTCACGAGTTTTGTATACCCTTGCGATCACAAGTAGGTAACTAACGTTTGATTCCACATACATGGAGCCTGCTTGAAGTCATACACACTGCGAAAAACTCGAAAGGCATCCCGGGGATGCTTCGCATAGTCAAATCCTGGAAGATGTCTAACGTAGACGTCGCAGTCGATTTCCCCATTGAGAAAGTCTGTAATGACGTCCATGGCGTCGATCTCGTAATCGATAACCGCTCCAATGGTAAGTAGCATACGTAGCACTTCTTTGGCTATGACCTGGGAGTAAGTCTCCTCGAAATTGATTCTCTTGGAATTGAATATGTCCTTGGACGACTACACAACTGCCCGTTCAATGTGACCAAACCAGCAATCAATTTGGTTCCGAAGTTTTAATTTCTTCGAACGTCGAAGTATATCTGGAATCTATTTCATTCAAAGTGGTTTAATCTGCAATCAATGAGGCCATTGTAATTCGATCGAACATGTATTGACAATGGTTTGCTTTTGATGGGCTCGCCAAACTCACGCGACACAATTACCCACACACAATTAATGCCAACAGAAGCCGAGAAAACTCGTGTCTTGGCATCCCAAGACGTTCAGATACGAGATCGTGTTGCAACGGGGACGGCAGGTCCACGGACATGGGTGGTGCACATAATGTGTGTGATGTGTGTGTACTATCACACATTATGTGGATTCGAATGGCTGACAACGAGATTACTACGGCTGCATGACGAGCACATTCTACGGGTGTGACCGCACTGTCAGACTGATTGAGAACTTGATTGATAGTCCTCTTGAGCTCGCACGCCCGGTCCATGTCGAAGCAGTACGTGTCGACGTCATGCATGGACCTGATGGCGAGCCCACCAATAGCAAACCCTTGTCAATACTGTTCGATCGTATTAGAATTTACAGGTTGACTACTTTGATTGCAGATTAAACCACTTTGAATGAAATAGATTCCAGATGTACTTCGACGTTCGAAGAAATTAAAACTTCGGAACCACATTGATAGCTGGTTTGGCCACATTGAACGGGTAGTGGTGTAGTCGCTCTTTGTAGCGAGCGACCTACCTCGTAGCCTCAATGACCGAGTCGTCGTAACTATTTTTAAAAATCCATCACATTCCCAGAGGTTTCTTCCCTGGAGGCAAGAAGACAGGTTCGAACGAGTGATTTGCCTCGTGAGCTGCGAGATCGAGCAGCATGGCTTCGTGCCACCACAATCTTTGGCCGGAGGCTTCATGACTTGCTTATATATCGTCGGCTCCTGTTCAGGTACTTTAGCCTGGAGGGCTAGAAGGGCATGAGCAGGTGTGGACATGGATTGTGCGTCATTGACGTCCATGACATGTGTGATTAAAAGCTTGGCTGGGCCGGTATGGACGTTCCGCTATGACCAATGAGGTAAGCGTCGATGGGCACCAGACTCAGGTGATGACCGACCTGTGGTCCAACTATTGACGCACCGTGGTCCATCCCGAATGACAGGGTTGTCGTGGGTGATGACGTGTGTTTGAAGATATGTATCAAATTCACACGAGCCCGAATTGGGGGGTTGCTTGTACTGCTCGTGGATCGAGGTACATGGGAGGACGGAAAATATTTCCGATTCGGATAAAAGGCGGCGAACCAACGTCGCCATCGACTCGGTTGAGCACCTTGCTGACCTCCCGGAGATTGAATGCGGTCGTCCTGTAAGCAGGATGCGAGGAGTAATTGCCAAATTGTAAGAGTCGATGCGTGGGACAATAGCCTCCCCAAGTGAGGGTAGAGGTGGTGGCGAAGTCGATGCGACTGTCTCCCGAAGTGGTAGTGGCGTTGGCGAGGTCGAGTCGACTCGCCTCCCCAAGCGGTGATGTCACTGGGGCTGCATAGGTGGAGGAGGATGATCCACCTTATAACAGTTTCGATGTGGTCGCTCGCGTCGAAGACGACGAGCTTCCTCAACTGACTTCAGGAGGGGAAATTGATATTCAACAAAGATCACATCGCGACTTGTGAGCATGTATTGCGTAGCTTGAATCCTCGAGAAGTCTCGGGCAGAACCATATACATGCACAACACGCCAAGTGAGGATATTTTCTTGGTACGCAATGGGATGCTGATGTGGACGTCTGCCATGCATCCGAAAACACGCACACGTGCGTAGTCTGGATGGCATTAATGCCACATACGGTATGGTATTGTTGTCTTGCGCCGGTGTTCGTAACCGACGGCTTGCCGTATTCACAACGGCGACCTCGATGACAAATCCAAAAGTGACTTCATTACCAAGCTACCTCCCTCACTTCGCAGTCAGTAGTG